TGTAATTAAACAGACTTTGCATGAACTGAAAATCAGCAGAAGGTGGAGCCACACCCGTGCACGACTCCCTGGCAAAGCCTCCCCTCAATCGCAAAGGCAGAGTTAGGAAATTTCTGACCTCATTAGTGTGGAGGTTGGGTCAAGAGAAATTTTAAAGTACTGAAGTATGGAAGTCATTGTCATGATCAAAAAGTCAGTAGCTCATGCCACCAAGGACAAGAGAGAACAATCCAAATGTGTTTTTTGTTTAAAGCTCACGAATGCTCGTTTTCTCTCAGAGTACCTTTATTCTTCCCTCCTGTCCTCTGCGGCATCACCCATGCCTAGCAGGGTACCAAGCACAAGTTGCTTAATAAATATTTGCTCAGTGAATAAACCATTGTGCAAACCTCTCAAATCTATCTGCATTCTGCACCCCAAATCCACTTTCTCCACTGCTTGCAGTGGATTATATTAACATATGCAAATACTTTAAGTGGAATGTTTTCTCTATTGAACAAATATCTTTTATTTCCTCATGTATATAGCCTTAGACTTCTTCAAGATTAATTTTATTTTTATTAAGGTAATGGATCTCAGGGTTTAAAACAAAATAAAATGGTGTTAAAGTTCTTGTAAAGTAACACAGATCTCCTCCTAAGGCCTGGGCTTAATCCCCAAAAGCAAACATTTGACTCTTTTAGTGGGTTTTTTTTTTTTTTTACCATACCTATTTGTAAGGGATTTGATTATCCTGCTATTCCCTTATATAGCAATTTTACACATTGTTTATTTGCTTTATGTTACAACAGTTGAGGATTTAGTTGCCTTACACACACTTAAACTCAGTACAGACTCTTTCTCATGCTCCTCATAAAGTTTTATTGTACTTTATGGTTGATTCGCTTGTCAATGTTTCCCTCACTGGGATTATATACACATCCAAATGAAGTTGTATACTATCGTTATGTTTCTTTTATCTCACAACTTTTTGTTTTTCCTGGAGTTAATAATATCCTTTTACAATTTGTTTAGCTCACTCTACTCTATGGTAAATTATTCACAGTTGCCTCCAACTGATCTTTCAAACTGTAACCGAATAATATAAATGTAGTAATAACCCTGAAAACCTCAGTGGCTTTACACAGGTTTATTTCTTGCTCGTTGTCACAATCCAACATGTAGCAGCTGGGGTTTCTGTGCCACACATCATTCAATGTCACAGATTTTTATTTCTTCTAGAGGATTTCATGCCTTCTAGGACTTCACAGCTCTTCATTGATTCCTTGCATCTGGATACTAACAAGAAAAGAGAGGGATGGAGGATCTCACAAGTCATTTTATGGGTATATCCTGGAAGTGCTGTAGATCACTTCTGCCCACATTCCATGGGCCAGAACTCAGTTCCATGCCTCCCCACATACCAGGGGCTGAGAAATGAAATCTAGTGGGATGCTTAGAATAAAGAGAAGACCATGGAATCTGGTGAGAACTGCCAGTCTCCACTGTACAAACTTTTATTGATAACTTTCAAGTGTACAGGTACATCAAATAATCTAGCATTTTCTTTTCCTTTTTTTTTTTTTTGGCGACATTCCTACTGTAACCATCTTTCTGTTTCTCTTTAGGGCTGCTTCACAATGGTTGTTCTAGAGAATTCCTTTTACTGTCTCCTATCTTGGGCCTGAATTTTAGGTGGTTTCATCTCTTCCTCTTTTATGATATATAAGCTTATGTGGGGAACACTTCCTTAAAAATGATACACAGGATGTATAGTTTTTGAGTTCCTGTATGACTGAAAATGCCATTAATCAAGCTTGGTTGACAGTTTGTCTGGGTATACAATTCTCGGTTCAAAATAATTTCATTTTTAAAATGGGTACGCATTCAAAGTAACTTCTGAATCCATCTTGAGAAAGCCAAGGCAGTTTTTATTCTTTCTCTTTGTATGTGATCTGCCTTAAGTTTCTGGAAGACAGTTTAGAGTCTTCTCTTTTTTCCTGCGTTTCTAGTATCTGAATTATGTAACTTGCTGTGTTTAATTAATTGATGATTAAAATTTTCGTTCTTCCTGGACCTTTTAAGGAAACTTTTGATCCCCAAAGTTCATGATCTTCATTTCTGCAATTGTTTTGCATTTTTGAAGTTAATTTTTCCATCCTTTTCTGCACAAAATGATCCCTTTTCTGGAACTTTCTGGGGTTTCCATTAGTCATAAATTCTTTTCTCCATTTGCTTTTTTATATCTACAGCTTTTTGTGCTGCTTTCCTGAAGATTTTGTCCAACTTAAATCTTCTACCCCATCTGTCAATTTTTTTAAAATTCTGAGTATATTTTCAATTTCAAGAGATTATTCCTGTCTTATATATAAATTCTTTGTTATTCATTTTCTTTAGTAGCAGAGTACAAAGGCATGTGTTCAGTTCATCTTGTTGAACCACAAATTACTCTAGTTTACTTTCTCCAGAAAATAAACTTTCAATCTCCTGGAAGTTGGATTGAGCAGATGGAAAAACTTATGGTTGGTTGATTGCATGGCAGTGAGGAAGGGAACTTTGGGTCCAAGCATTCTGTATACAGACGTCTAACCAAACCCCTGTTTACCCCACCACCTGGCCTCCCTGAGGCTGGTATTTCTGCCTTCTAGGCCTGAGTTTGCCCAGGCTTTGCAGGAAGAATTGGCTCGCATCTTGTCCATCACCTCTCCTGCAGACATGCAGTGTGTATACGCCTCTGCTCTTCCAAATCATATATCAACCCTCCGTCTGATTTAAGTTTTTCAAAGAAAAAAAACCACTACAATGTATTTTATCTGCCGATACCTCCTTTCACTTTTATTTGTCTTTATGGTTTAATAGTATTTTAAAAATTCAGTTATTCTTGTGATGAAGGAATTTGAGGAAAGGGTTATGAAATATCTGTGATCAACTTGCTATCTATAACTAGCTCTCTCCCCATGTACATTTATATATCTGTTTACCTCAGTGCTGTATTTATTGAATTATTCAGAAGTCATATCTATTTAATTTGTGCTACATAAACTCCAGGTACAGGAAGATTTGATGACAATAATGATGACATATGATGTTGTCACCTTGTTTTCACTGGTTTTCCTGGGTCATTTATTCTGCTCTACTTCTGTCACAGTGGCCTGCATGAAGTGGTCAAGAAATATTTCTCTCATATCCCCCACTCTTTCTCCTCCTTGGAACCCCTCTTCCCACAGGGAAGGAAATGCTCTGCCACTCTAGCAGTGTCCCCATATAACCTAATGGCTCTGAGCCTGGGAACCTGAAAGATAGGACTGTATGTAGCAAGTCACTCCAGGGGAGCTGTCCCTGCAGGACTTGACCCTACAAAGCAGATGACACACTTAATCTGGGGAAAGGTGGCAAGGAGAGCCTATGATAAATGTATCTGTTAGATTTCCTCATAGCAGGAAATTTTTCTAGATAGTAGAGTGGTAGCACAAAATAGTAACCACCATGATTTCAGCATTCGGGACTAGGGGAACTGAATTCTACCTTCACTGACCTTCTTGATTCTGGGCAAAAGATTGGAATTTTCTCAACCTCAATTTCATCACTCTAAAAATGGGGACAATAAATATAATAGATGCCTATTTCAAAACAATGTTGTGAAAGTCAAATTAGATGATCCGCAGTCAAGGGCTTTACAAATTCTATTGCATTCAGGAAATAATGGCTATTAGGATTAATTTGATTAGTGAACACATTAACTAGGTAAAGAGTATGAATCATTGTATAGCACAGAGAATCATTCTAAATCGATATGTTAATAGTGGAAAAAATTCAAGGTTGTTGTTTTCTTTCTTTTATCTCTCTCCAGGCCCATGGACACACACTTGTTGTATACTTAGCTATTGCTGTTGGATGCAAAGTAGATTTATCATAGACATAGATTTTCAGCATACATATTTTGAAAATCTACATTATGAAACTCATATACTTTCTCCTAGTAGATCTGAGATACTTTTTATGAATTGCACGTTATTTGGGGAGAAAGGAGTAGAGTAAGTGCTACCAAAATAACAAGTATAGCCAACACATGCATAGAACTTACCGTGCCAGGCACTGCTCTACACAGTTTACTAATATCAACTCACTTACTCACAATAACACTATGAAGGCATTATTGTTATCCTCATTTTCAATATAAGAACATTGAGGTACATAAAACAGAACTTCTTCCATAGTTTCCTAATAGACAGATTTTTGTGAAATCAAACATTTTCTCTAATACTCCTCTTCTCCACTACTTTGCTGTCGTTTGTGCGTTTGGGGCTGTTCCTTTGCCCTCTTCCACAAGACATTCTCTGCGAGATGCCTCCCAAATTAGGTCTCTAAGGCACCCAGCTGGAACTGACTTAAACAATTAAGAGGTAAGCGATCATCCTCATCTCATTGTTTTCTAACATGAATGCAAGCAACGGGTTTGGAACTCTTTGATTTTCTTCCCAGAGGAATAAGTCAATTGCTATGCTATGCTATGCTATGCTATGCTATGTATTCAACCTTGTGTTCTTTACCTTTACCATGAATTTAGGGATGTCAGAGTATGCCTCAAACGTAATCCCAAGAGGGGCAGCCAGGGTCTTTGCTGTGTGGGTGAATCTGAAGTGTTCAGAACAGGGTCTGCCACACAGTAGGTACTCAATGAATATTTGTTTAGCGACACTGTGTGCTCACTATTTTGTTTAACAGCAGCCTATCCATGTCCAAGGTGATTTTAGGAAGCAAGAATCAGGACGGTGCATACTGATGAATGCATTCCTAGGAGCGCATTCTAACTTTTAAAATATTAATTTCTTTCCAACTCCCACTCTTACCTGCCAAACCTTTCCCTGCTCTCCACTTGCAGTCGTGGGCTCTCCCCATAGGTAATGAGACTCTCCCTGTGAGGGGAGAATGCAACCCCCTGGAAACAGTTCTTCTCCCAGCGCCCTGAGCTCTTTGAGTAAGCGATATCAAAGGAAGCACAGAAACATAAATGAATAAAAATGAGCCCGCCGCCGGGTTGGGAGCGCTGTCACAGCGCGGAGAACGCGACCCGGAGCCCAGAGTGCTTCTGAGCGCAGCAGTTGAGTCACCAGCAAGACTGGCCTGAGGTGAGCTCGGCACATCCGCGTTCGGGCTCGGGGACACGCCTTCTTCTCACACAAACCTTCCAGGCCGGAGTCGCTGCGGACTCCAAGGGGGTGGTGCTACCAGCCCTGCCACTTGCAGCCCTGACGGCCGGCCGGGGGCTGGGGACCGACCCGAGCAGCCACAGGTTGGAAAACTAAGGAGCCGTCCCCATGCTTGTCGCCCGGTGAGGCGGATCCCGCGCGGCCGTTCCCGGGCTGGGGAAGGGGGAGACGGAGAAAGCTCCCTGAAACCTGACGCCCGGCCCTGTCGGCGAGGAAACTTCGCAGGCTGGTGAGTCGGGGAAGGCGGGCTGCGGTGGCCGGGACGCCCCCACCCTCCCGGCGCGCAGTGGGCCCGGCAGCGCGGCAGGCCGGGGCCCGCGGTGTGCGCCCGCGCCCGGCAGACACCCGCGCACTGGGCACGGCCGTGGCGTGCGCCGCACGGAGGTCGCCAGCCAGCTCGGCCTGGCTCTCTCTTGGGGTTCTGGTGTTTGCTTTTCAAACAGCTGCTTAGGACAAAAAAAGAAAAAGAAAAAGAAAAACTGGGCACAGCACGGCGATGCCAGTTTCCTTCCATTCGTATCTCAGAAAACAGCCACGAGAGTGCTGCATTAGAACAAGAAGGATGATGCGTTTCGAGTGTCGTTCAGGAAGAAGTGACAGGGAAAAAAACAAGCCAGGCAAGTGAAAGAACATTTCTTTGCACTTCCTCAGGTGAACTAGCCACAGAGAGATCAAGAGAGATTTCCGTTTTCCGATTTTTGGACCCTGTTGCTTCCGAATTCTGATCTGCTGTGTGTCTGTGTTGGTTTAAGCGGTCACAATAAATTAGCTTCCAAGACTGTCCCACCCAGTGCAACATTATCTAAAGGAGCCCCCGCAAACTGCTGAAGCGGGTGGGCTGTAAGCAGAGACTGTGTTCGTTGGAAAAAGCTGTGTTTGATTAAAGCCATCACACCTGTGACATGTTTACCAGCTTTTTAGGTCAAGATCTGAAACTAAGGGTATGCGATTCTAGTTGTTTAAATGGTACATCATTAAATTTAGCCCCTATTAATAACACGGTTATTACCACCAACATTATTATTTGACGTAATATAGGTATTAATTTTGATTTAGTTCTGTTTAAAAATGAAATGTCTACAGTTCTCAACATTAAGCTTTTTTAAAACATATATTCAGTAATATTATATATATATATAGACTATATAGGGTTTCATAGTTATAAATTTTGAAAAGTTGACAGAAAGGATGGACTGGCATCATTATAAATTCAGGTATTTAAGTTTATTGAATTTTCAAGCAGCTACAAATTTCAAATTGTGGCTATGAAGTGACAGCCATACTTGTCCTATGCCATCCTCCCCACTACCAGATAGTTATTTTTCACAATTTCCTAGCATAATCCTCTACCCAGATGGCATCAATCATCCTTGAAGACAAGAGGGGATTCCTACTATGTATGACCAAAAAAAAAAAGGTCATCTTGACAGATAGTTTAATATCAGTGGGGCTTTTCTGCTTAAGAGCTGATGTGAACTCCCATATTACCATCATTGCTTTCGAAAGGAAAACAAAACATTTCAGATGAAACTGGATGGGCCTGTTCTCACAGCTGCCAAGAAGGAATAAAGAGAATCTGTCAAATGTCAGCAAACCACAGGGATCCTTTCTCGTAGGTCATTTCTGAAACAGGCATGTTTGACCTGATAAAGAAGGAAGGTAACCCTAATAACAGAGATCCTCACAGCCCCGGGACACAACAGCCTACAACAAAACTCCCCGCGGGTTAGAAAAGCGCTGCACATGTGTCACACTCCTCCTAGAAAAAGGAAAACACACAAAAAGCCACAGGGGGCACAAAACAAAAATCTGCTCTTTTCCCACCCTCACTCCTGGAATTTTTTGGTAAGGTTTTTGGGTCTCTCAGATCAGTAGAGCATGAAATATAGACCAACTATTCATGTAAAAGCTCATCTCACAATTAATCCAGTTTCTTGAGTTGATTCATCACGGCAGGTTAGCCAATAGTTCAGCTCTTAAGCAAGTAATTATAACACTGAGATGCAGGAAAACGATTACAGTGAAAACAGACAGGACAAACCAGGTATTTCCCCTGAAAAGTATGCCACTTTCTAACTATGGCTGCCGAGGGGGAATGAATTTTTCATTCATGACTAGGTATATATGGGGCTTAAGTTTATTCTATAGTAAGGAAGCAGCAACAACCCTAAACATAATAACAAACTTATGGTAAACCCCATACATGGAGTTTAGAGCATTGCTTAATTTGTTTCACACCCTTTGCAGTCATTATTCATGTTCTCCAAATATTAACCTTCTCTCATTGGTGCTCCTTAAATGAAGGAAACTTGTCTAGATTACCAATAATGAGAGAAACACTGTTTAACAAATGGCCAAAAAATCTTCAATAAATTCAGTCTTTCTAACTGAACAACTGCTTAATATATTGTGAAACATAATATATAAAGTTGCTTGTTCATCTATTCAACAATATTTGTTAATAATGTTGAGGACTATGTTGGGCTCTAGGTGGATAGAAGTGGACAGAACAGACAAAAATCCCTGACCGGACAGAGCCTGCCCTTCCCCGGGAGATAAAGAGTAATCCAAACGAGTAAGCTAAATCCATGGTACATTAGACGTAAGTGCTCAGGAGAGAACATAAGCAGAGACGACATGCAGAGAGTGGCAATGGCATGGGACAGTGCATGTTGAAATTTTAGACCAGGTGCCCAGGGAAGGCCTCCCTGAGATGATATTTCATTGATCTGAAGCAAGAGAGTGATCGCGTGGATATGAGGAGGAAGAGCGTTCCAGACTGAAGGGACAGCAAGCAAGAGTTTGCCTGGCATCTTCCAGGGACAGCAGAGAAGCTGGTGGACTTAGCACAGAGGGAGTGAGGGGGATGGTAGGGAGAACTTGGGGAGGGGCAATAATGGGGCCAGGCATGGAGGGCTTCAAAGGTCCTAATAAATATGTAGGCTTTGGTTTCTATTCTGAGTAAAATGAGAAAGCACTGTGTTTTAGATATAGCCTGTTGGATATTTCTCAGCAAATACTTAGTATACTAAGAACTTTAATATTCTTCTCAGTGCTGTGGATAACAGAAGTTAGTAAAACATACAAGGTCTCCACTGCCATGGAAGTTACATTCTACTGTGGAGAGGTAGACACATAACTGAATAAGCAAATTAGTGATTCTGCAAGTTTTAGTGTTGTTAAGAAAAAAAATGTTAAAGGGAAAAATAATGGGAGTGACCTGGAGGGGGACTCTGTATGACTCAGTGGTCAAGAAAAGCCTCAGAGGAGGTGATATTTGAAAAGATCACTCTGGCCTCCTTGAAGAGAATGGGTTGTAGGGTAACCAGAGTAAACAAGAGACCAATCAGGAGGTGATTCTAGTAGATGCGCAAAGACAGTGGCATAGATTAGGGGTGGAACTGTGGCCCTGGAGAGAATATTTCCTGAACCTTCAGGGAATATTTGAAGGCAGAGCCGACAGAACTTGCTAATGAATCAGGTGAAATGTGGGGATGAAGAAAAGGGTCACCAGGACTTGTGTTGAAGACCCTGGGCAGATGGCAAAGCCATTTCCTAAGATGGATAAAGCTAGGGGAGATTTGCAATGAAAATGAAGAGTTCATTTCCAGCCTTTTGAGAGACTTTTTGGTTTGCAAGTGGAAATACCAAATTGAGCTTTGACATATACTAATCTTATATGGAGCACTTAGAGGAAGTCATAGCTGAATGTAAGAATTTGCGAATCGAGTGCCTATGGATGCTATTTAGAGCCATGGTCTTGAGGATATCACCTGGAGAAAGATTAGAGAGAGAAAAAAAATAGAGGCCCAAGGATTAAGCTGTGGCTTATTCTAACATTCATAGGATCTTGCATAGGAGAAGTCAGTAAAGAGCCAGTCAAGCGAGAGGTAAACTAAGACACAAAGTTTGTCAAGAAGAAAGGAATGGTCAGTGGTATCAGGCATTGCTAAGATAAACAGTGAAATGAGGAAAGTGATTGCATGTGGCCATATAGCACACTGGCAGCTTGAGTAGGAGCTGAAGTTCTCAAAATAAGGTTTTCAGAAAAACTAACTTGTAAAAATTCTGAAAATAGTGTTTCACCTAATCCCCAAGACAAATTGAAAAGAGAGAAGCCAGTAGAAAAACTCATGAAGCTTTATAGAGGTTCTAATAAAATCAGTTTTTAAAAAGTGGCTTATAGAACAGAAGAACAGAGCAACATGCAATTAGAAATACTTAGAAAGGTGTTGTCTGTAAGCATAGTTTAAGGAAGAGTACGACCCAGAGTGAACTGAAGCTTGTAAGAAAAGGCTCAGGAGAGCTAAAGATTCTTTTCACATTGTTTGGAACAAAGCAGTGGGTCATCTCACTTCATGTTAGTAGATGTAAAAGAAAGTGGAATTAATCAATTTCTGTTTTGCTTCCCTCTTCTTTTTATATAAAAGACAGTAGTGTTTACAATGGAAGGATTAGACAACACTTGGAGAAAATTGAAATCAAAGAAAATTGAAAAGTAATTGTGGCTGCAAATAACTTCTTTAGGTGGGAAAGAGTCATGGTGGAAGCTGTCAAGAGGATCTCTGTGAGGAAATAGTGTTTCAGTTGGGATCTAATCATTGTCTGGTTGCCAGGCAGGTAAATATTTGGGAAAAAACAAGCCAGACAGAGCAAAGGCATCTGCCGAGTTCCTAAAATGGGAGAGAGCTTGGTGCATTCAAGGCACTGAGAGATGAGTTTGGAGAGTGGAAAGCAGGTGGCAGAGAGAGGGGCACAAGGTGAGACTGGAGACACCACTTGGGAAGTCATTGCAGGGAATGAAAAAGACCAAGGAAGACCAAGAAGTGCAGTGACCCAAGATTTATCTGCCAGAGATGTTATAGAGATGGCTTCAACTGAGAAGTTGAACCAAACGACCTACCTACAAACTTTCTTCCAAAGTTGTAATCCTAAAAATATGAGAACACTATTTAATATTTGATATATATTCTAGATAAAAAAATTAAGAATCTATAGTCAAAGTTTAGTTGTCAGCAATAAAACAGATCAAAGTGAATTAAGTTCTAGCTACCATATAAACTAAATGTTTAATATCTAGAAATGCAGGAACATTTTTAGGGAGGTAAAGCTACATTGAAGGATATCAAGACCTGCCCACATAATTTGGGGAACAATTTCACAGAAGGCAGATATAGATATCATAAATTGATGGGATTTAAATCAAACCATTAGAAAGTCTATTATTAA